TTATTATTTGGAAATAACTTACTAATATCGTGGATTCCATTCCGCGAATTAAAATATGGAACCAAAATTGGAAAAGGCGGTTTTTCAACAGTGTATTTTGCTACGTGGACACGTCACAATGAAATTGGTATGCAAATTTTAAATGTTGCTCTTAAATTACTTCATGAATCAAAAAATAATTACAAGGAACTTATTAAAGAGGTAATTACTTATTATTTTAATTTATTTAAGCCAATTTTCTATTGTTATTGATATTTATAATTTATAGTTAATTGCATATTCGAATATTGGAACTAAAAATACCACATTTTTGCAATGTCATGGAGTATCAAAGGATGAAGAAACGGGAGATTATATTTTGGTTATGCAATATGCGCCAATGGGATCTTTACGTGAGAATCTTAACAAAGTTGCACAAATGAAATGGGAAAAAAAATTAGAATTGATATCGTATATTGCTTTTGATCTTCAATTAATTCATTCAAATGATATTATTCATTGCGATTTACATAGTGGCAATGTATTTCAAGAAGACTTACATAATGCTTATATTGGTGATTTAGGATTTGCAACAGCAGTTAATAAAACATTAGATACAGAATCTAGGGGATTTATGGAGCCTTACCGTATATGGCACCCGAAGTTTTACAAGGAAATTCATTTACCAAAGCTTCAGATATTTATTCTTTTGGAATGATTATGTGGGAAATTTCTTCAGGAAATATTGTATTTTCTGAATGTAAAGATAAGTTAAAATTAGCATTTGAAATCTGTAATGGTATGAGACCAACTATTATTAAAGGCACAACATCATGCTATACAAATCTTTTAAAAAAATGTTGGGATGAAAAACCAGAAAAACTACCATCAGCTCTAGAAATTCACAAAACTATTTTAAATTGGAAAAATAATGCTGAAATTTTAGCCGAGTTTTTAAAATCTGACGAAGAGATGGTAATTGAAAATAACAATGCCTTTAATAGTTTAGATGATAGTACGATTTACACTAGTAAGTTTATTAGTTATATTAATCAACAATCTACGAATGCATACGAAATTGGATCTGAAAAGCTTTGTTTTGATATTGAATGAGTATGTGTCAATGGAAATATATTTATTTGTATTAATCAAGAAATTTCAAAGTATCTTGAGACATTAACTATGTAAGTATAGTCAAAAATTCCTAAATACAACTCGAAGGGACAGACTTTTGATAGCTTGTACTTATGGGGTCTGTCATAAATTTGGGTCAGAGTTAAAGGTTGCATTTAGAGAGGTGTTGCATTTAGAGGGTTGCATTTTTAGGAGGTCTGACTGTATATTTCATATTTTATTTTAAGATTGTTAAAAATTTATCTCTTATATATTGTACCATATATAAGAGAATTGTAAAGTTTATAGTATTTTTAGAAAATTATTCGGAATTCTATATTTTCTTAATATGGTTTTTCAAGACAGGTTTTCAATTTGACAAAGCAATTTTAACTATCGTAATTTTTAGCGTATCCAAGGACTATCTCAAAAATGAATAAATTATGTAGTGAATTATTTGAACAAGTTACAAGCATTTTTTATATTTGAATTACGTTTTTTTAATAATTTTAATAGTTTCGATTTCAGTATTTAACCTTAATGATCACATCAAATCTCGTATACTATTCACTACTGTACAAGTTTTTGGAAGCTTTTTTGCTCATTCAAATCTTTAATGTCATCTACCATTTTTTGAATAGGTTTAAAGTTCGATTCAATACCTTGAAGCCATTTTTTTTATTTGAGAAGATTATTAGACTTTTCAAAACAATCAAGCGCCTAAAACATAAATCAATAATAAATTTATTTAAATATGGAAATATAATGGAAAAAATTTTTTATACCTCATGAATAGTTTTTTTTGTTCTTAGAGTTTCAGATTCAGATTCTCTATTTACAGTACTCGATTCTTCATCATCAATATTTTGGTTTTACCAGATCGATCGTTAAGTTGACTTGTTGTAATTGATTAAGGTTGATATTCGTTCTTTAGTTTCCTTAATTAGAGGATAATGAGAGGATATTGAGAATTGCAATGTATATAAATTAATATACTGTAATATTAGATTTAGAAATTTAAACATAATATAATGACAATGAACTTCAAAAGCTTCATCCATGTTATTTACTTCTAATTCGTTAATTGTTTGAGAAATATCTACAACATATACATATTGCTTTCTCCCCCAATATCCATAAGTTTTTCATAACCTATATTTCAAGCTCTTCGGATTTTATAGCATTTTCTTTTTGCCTGCGAATATTATTTAAAATTTGATCCTCACGTTACTGTTTTTTTTTCTTCCATTTACACGGGTTGTACACTTAAAACATGACGTATTATTATTTTGGAGTGCAGTTTTTGGTTTCATGATTCGACAAGATGAACAAAGTTGTATGTGTTCTATTGTAGAAAATATTTTGTTCTTACATATGCTATTAATCAAATGTCATTATTATTGTATTAATCATTAATTTTAATTTTAATATCGGCAACTAGGCGCTTAAGTTGTTTAAAGGGAGTTAGAAATAAGTGTACTATATCTGATATTGTATTATGTAGTGCAAGGACTTCATATTGTGACTAGGCTCCATGGCTGTGATAGCAGTGCATAGGACCTCATATGTATAGTTGCTGTCCAAACCTAATTGGTTTGGGACTTTGGGACTGTCTAGGATATTAACCACTATTTGAGCTAGTTAAAGCCATGGAACTTGTCCAAAACTTACTGTATGAATTGGCAAAATTTCAGATATATCCAATTTATAATTACAGAATTATCTAGATGGCAACTATACTCATGTGATTAGACACTATGGCTGCTGCAGGTAATACAAGAACCTCATGTTTGGTGATTGAGCCCCCTATAAAAAAAAAGTTTGAATTTTTATTATGGAAAATACTCATTATTTAAAATAATAATCTGAACAAAAAATTTAAATAGAATTTTAACTTGTTTTTATAGGATCCACAACTATAATAGCAGTACAAAGGTCTCACATTGCAATTAGGCTCTGTGGCTGCGGTAGCAATGCAAGGACCTCATAATGTGATTAGGCTCTATTACTGCTAGGGATGGGTTTAGTTGCAAATAACTATGATTATTCATAGTCAATTTTCAAATATTGAGTGTTTTTTTTTTTTTTTTTTTTTTTGATATTTTAATTAAAGTTATTCGAATTAAATTCTGTTCATCACATCTTATAAGTGAAAAACAAAACTTTCTCTTAAACTAAGAATTTTAAAATTTGTTAATGTCATGACCGATTAATAACTGGTGGCTAATAACCAGTTATAATGTTAACAAAATTTGAAATTCTGTTCCAGAGAAGGTATTATTCTTTCCACTTATAAGATGAGATGAATAGAATTTAATTCTGAAGAACTTTAATTAAAAGCTCAAATAGAAAAAATCATTTTAGTATTTAGAAAATTGACTATGAATAATCATAGCAACTGAACACATACCTAATAGCTGCTACAGGTAGTGAAGAACCTTATGTTTGGTAATAAAGCACCGCTACTATAATAGCAGTACAAGAACTTTACATTGTGATTAGGCTCTGTGGCTGCTATAGCAATTCAAGGACCCATGTTCTATGGCTGCTGCAGGATGTAAGGATCTCATGTTTAGTATTAAGCACCATAACTCCAATAGCAGTGCAAGGATCTAATGCTATAATTAGGCTCCATGGCTGCAATAGCATGCAAGAACCTTACATTGTAATTAGGCCCTATTGCTGCTGTAGACAGTGCAAGAACATCATGTTTGGTGATTAAGCACCATAACTATGATAGCAGTGCAAGGACCTCATGTTTGATTAGGTTCTGTGGCTGCAAAGACCTCATGTTGTAATTAGACTTTATGGCTGCAGTAGGCAATACAAGATCTTATGCTTGACAATTAAGCTTCGTAACTATGATAGCATATAAGAATCTCACATTGTGATTAGGTTCCGTGGATGCAATAGTAATGCAAAGATCTCATGTGATTTGGCTCTATGGCTGCTATAAGCAGTAATGAACCTCATGCTTGGTAATTAAGCACTGTAACTATGATAGCAGTGTGATAGCAATATAAGAACCTCATGTTATAATTAGGCTCTATGGCTGTTGCAAGCAGTGCAAGACCCTTATATTTGGTGATTAAGCTCTGCAACTATGATAGAAGTGCACAGTGTAAAAGGGTCAATTGTAGTTAGAAATAAATTTTTAATTTATTGGTAAGTCGGATACATACAAGTTTGAAGGAATTGGTATACTTATGAATAGATTGATCAATGCCGAGGTAGCTCAGGTTGATTCTTACTACTTTACCCAAATTTAGTTAGCATTAGTATAGTGTACTTATTCCCTTTCTGTCACTTATATTATTAGTGATATAAGTATCACTAATTCCACAAATGACACTTTGTCTCTTAATAATATTTGATGAATAAATGACACTTCTTCCACAAATATCACTAATGACACTAATGTCACTTATGACATTAATACTATTTCACTAATAAGTTCAACTTTCAAACCTGTATTATTATAGGAATGTAAAACTATAAATATATCTCTTGAATTCACAATAAAGTAGCTAGCTAAGAGCTCAGATAAACTCAAAGTTGGCATAACTCAATAGAGTTTGACTCAATTAAGAGTTTGCTACCCTAACTTTAACATTTCATTAATTACTCCTGATAAATAAATTTTATAATCCCATAATTCTGAATTAGAGCTTCGTGATGTAGTCTAGAACTCTATTTAGCCCTAATAACTCAGACCAAGTTTTTTCATACCTTTTTTCTGCCTTCTAATATTAGAGTTCAAATAGAGTTGATTGTTAGTATGTTTATTTAGATTATATTAGTATAGTTTAATATTTGTATTACCCATATTTTTCTAAGCTGATCCAGTCTAGCCTTTCTCAATGGACCTCACATTGTGGTTAGGCTTTGTGGTTGTAATAGCAATGCAAGAGTCACATATTGTATTTAGGCTCTATGACTACTGCAGGCAGTGCAAGAACCTTATTTTTGATAATTAACCACTATGACTACAATAGCAGTGCAAGGACATTATAGTTAGGCACCATGGCTGCAATAGCATAAATTAATCAAAATTCAACCAAATAGAAACCAACAATAATGATTTTCATACTTACTAAATATGGTTAAGTATATTGTATAATTTAAAAAAAATTTTTTTTTAAACTAAAAGAAACTATTATATAATCTAATCTAAGCCATATTTTATTAAAAAAAAAAGATAATAAAAATACTTTCTTGCTAAATCCCATATAATATTGTCCATGTATACTTTATTTACAATTTAGTTATATTTACAATTTAACAAATCAGAAGAATAGAAACCTATAAAGCACAGATCAATTGATGAAGCACAAGGTGAAAAGTTTCATTTAAAGAGATTCTACAAATATATATATGTATAATAAGTAAACAGAGGTTTGTCTGATTGAATTTAAACAGTGCTGCCCACTGTAGTAATTACTCGATAATAACTGGTACTGTACATATTCAAGATGTACTATAAAAGGAAATAGTATGTAAATATTATTGTTATTAGGTTTAAATAATAAGACACATGAGCGATAAACATAAAGTTTACTATTGTAAATGTATTTTTAGTATGCAAATTCAAAATAAAGTTTCATAGCAATGTATACATCGAATTATGAAATCAAAAGTCAATTTAACTTATTGAATCTTATAAATACAACCCAAATATGATAAAAATTTTTTGGGGGCATGCTCTAGATCAGATTAGATCAGATCAGACCTGTGCAATGCAATGTTGCCTGCTCATGATACAGTATATATAAGAAAAAGATCAAGATCAAGATAATATAAAATTTTTTAACAAAAATCATTTCTGTTTTAACCTAAAAGGAAATGTGGCAGATCACAAGTAAGATCGTATCCAATAAATAAGATGTTTAACATCTAATCTTAAACTTTATTAGAAATGATCTATGATATACAAACAAAGAAAAATTGAAGGCAGTTAATAAATCACATGACAGCTTCATATTTTTATACTAACAAAAATAAGCAACGTGCTAAAAATAACTTCTAAACGAGTTTTCATGAGTTCAGTGCAAAACTTAAACATTAAAATAGAAAATAAAAATGTATAACTATAGAGTTTACCATATATTTGGCAAACATGGAAGATTATTATTCATATTAGGTAAATTGATAATAAACACATTAGGAAGAGATTTGCAGATTGATTTTAAGAATGACCAAATATACATATAATATCATTATCACTGCAGCATTACTATAATGATAATGTGATCAGCAACGTAAGTTTTGGCAAAAGGTTCAATTTTTGTCAGTTAGAAAACACAAGCAAGATTTATTTAATATCAAAAAAAAAAAAAAAAAGCAGTAAAGAATAGTGTAATTTTACTTTAAAATTTACCACAAAGTAGGTTTTTTTTTTCATTGTTTTGCACAAGTATTTATTTTAAGTGATCTTAAAAATGAAGAGAATAAATAAATTATTAAAAAAAAGAATTAAAAATTTTTTATGACAAATCAAAAAAGTTAAAAGTATTAGAAAGAAATTAGAAATTATTTTAGTGCTTAAATAAATATTATTTTATATAGATTGAATTTTCTTGTGCAAGCAAATAGCAAAAGTATTTATTTACATAATGTTTAAAACATTATAAATACAACCTGAATACAATAAAAAATTTTTTGGGACATGCTCAGAGCTATCAAGATAATCGGCACACATAGCTCATATAGTGCATATAAGATAATATGAAATTTTTTGATGAAAATTCTTTTTGCTTTAGTCTAAAAGGAATGTGGCAAATCACAAGAAAGATTGCAACCAATAAATAAGATGACTACTGCAAATCATAAACTTGATTGGAAGTGATCTGCTGCATGCTGATAGAGAAATTTGAGAGAGGGGATAATTAGAGTTTTAAATTTGATTTAAAATTTTAACTTAAAGTTTAATAAATAAAAATAAATAAATAAAAAATAAAAATTATAGTTTTAAAATTTTAATTTAAAATTTCAAAATTAAAGTTTTAAATAATTAAAAAAATAAATAAATAAAATAAAATAAAAATTAAAAAATAAAAAAATCATAAAATTTTTTAATTTATAAATTATTTTTAATTTTATATATTGGCTTTAAATTTAATATACTAGCTTAAATCTCAATAAGGCCCAAGTTAGTATATTAAATTTAAAGCATTTTTTTATATAGAAATAAATTATTTAAACTTAATATAAAATATATAATTACATCTTATATACTACTTTATAAATAGCATATAACAAAGTATTATTTTGGTATTCTAACTAAATCAAATACTGCATATATTCTTTACATATTCTTAATATATCTCAAATCTAGATAAGCCTTGCCACTCTGGTAGATTTAGGCCACAAATAAATTTTTAGATTTACTTAGTTATATGCCTGAGTTCTTATTTTTAATACTAGGCTTAAATAATGTTGTTAGTCAAAACAATTTAGATATTTAGGCATTTAAACAAATTGAATTTAGGCTATTTTGACTTTGTTATTTTTTTAAAAATTACTATTAAAAAATTAAAAAAAATTAATTTAGATATTTAGACATTTAGACAAATTTTGACATTGGCAAAAATAATTTTGACTAACAACATTAAACCTAACATAGATTCACACATTAACAGTTAACATCAATGACTTACTCACTTACTAATATCAACAATTAATTTTATCAACTGTATGTTTGACAAACTGAAGCTTGGCTTATCTGATGACCCTTAACCAATAACAAAGGAAAATAAGGCCGCACTCTCCAACAAGTTTTACCAATTCACATAACACAAGACTAAATACACACAAGAACCTAACATAGATTCATACATTAACAGTTAACATCGATGACTTATTCACCTACTAAATCAACAATTAGCTTTATCAACTGTATGTTTGACAAACTGAAGCTTGGAAAGCAATTTTAAGTGAATATCAATATCACTTTGGACCAAGCAGTATGATTGAACGTGTCCTGTAGCACCATGACTCACATTGATAAATCATTTTAAATTAAGTCTACAACTCCCCACAACAATGATAAAAGCAAAAAAAAAAAAAAGAAACACCATTCTCGACTGTATCAAATTCAAATGTAATGTACAAGCTTTTCCAGCATTACTTTAACATAGTTGAAATGCTTGCAGCCTCAAATTTAATTATTTATAAATGCTCAGATATATCAAATACAGATTTGGATTAAAAAAAGAAAAGATAAGATTAGTGAACATATCTTGCAGAAACAATACTAAATTTTAATGTAGCCAATCAAGATCAGGGCAAATATTAGTATATGCACTTTGCGAAATATCATATTATCTTCTTAACTCTTTTCAGAATAGTTTTGGATCAGAGATAAAGCAGTGAGACAGAAACACTATACACTCATCTGATAAGACATATGATCCAGGATTGTACAAATAATAATAATAGTTATAGCATATAGACATAGGCTATAGTCCAGAATTGTACACACCTCTTACAGCAGCTTACCAAGTCAATTGACACAAAAATTATGACACCAGTGTCAATAAACTTTGCAAGAATACAAAGCTAACCCCTCTGGATATTCGTAACAGTAATCTTGGCTTAAAAGGATTAGATGGAGGAAAATATCAGCGAAGATGCTTAATAACCGAGCATGGATAATACTTGTCTGCCAAATAAAAAAAAAAAAAAAAATAAGAAAAAACAGTATTCGAATTAAACTCTCTGTAATCCCAAAACACAAGAAGCGATCATCATCTAGAATTAAACACACCATTTGACTTGCCATTAACAAACCAAAACATTATCATTATAATATCAAGCCTCATCTTTCGTGTGAATTTGAATCAGGTATATCTACAGGAACTAGACAAAAGATACATAGATGACTTTCCTCAGAGCACTAGCTTCTATGAAGATATTTCAGGCCACCTTTGGAGGAAAGACACAGATTTCAAAGCATATCATACCTCTCAGCCTAATCTTGTATACACAGTTATAATGCAAGGACATTAGTTGTTTATTTGATCAATTGTAGTTACGTTCATTTTTGAAAGTTAGAATCAGAGACACATACAGAATTTTCATACACACCTGTTGCCCAAGTATCATTGCGCAGAATAAAACACACTTTGTATCAGATAAATTCATACATCTCAGCCATATTTTGTATAAATAGAATTGAATTTAGCTTACAACACAAGAACATTAGTCATTTATTTGATCAATTGTAGTTAGGTCAATGGACGTTCATTATTGAAAGCTAGCATAAGAGATGAACACAAGATCTTCTTACGCACCTTGTTGCTCAAGTATCGTAAAGTGTTATGCACAGGAGAAAACACATTTTGTATCAGATAAATATATACAAATTTGAACATTAGTTATTTACTTGATCGACCACAGTTTGGGCAATAGACTCGTTATTAAACGCTAGAATTATAGCATTAAGAACACATATAGCTTTCTCTCTCACATTTCATCGTTCAGATATCATAAGGTGTTATTCGCAGGATGAAAATACCCCTGATAACTAGGCTCATGAATATATTTTACGGATTGGCAAAGCTCTCACATGAATAGACGTACAACAAGACCCCATTCAACATTTCTTTCACTACACAGTTGCTCCTTATTACACTATCAGCAGACGTACAATGCAGGGCATAAAAGCAAAATAGGATAATACATCGTATAAAAAAAAGGGAAAAAAAAGAAAAAAACCTCCCAAAAAAAGAAAAGTCACCAATGTCGGATTGTCAAGGCAAATTGTTGAATGCCTATAACCCCAAACCCAATACTCATAAAATAGCAGCACATATCGGATAGAAAAAGCATTGGCAGATATTCGGTGCAATGGAAATTGATAATCTTCCAGAATTGATTAAATAGTCGTAGATTAGAAAAAAAAAAAAAAAAAAGAGAACGATAGTAGAAGATATGAGTTACTAAAGCACTACACCAAGCAGACATATCTTGCATAATTAAATAGGCTTCAATGTTAACCTCCATAGATCTTTATGATCATAATCTTAAACAAAAAGAAAGAAAGGAAACAATACAGCAATAGTGAACTCCACCCCCCAGAAATGATATCATGGTATATTCAAGTTTTCAACAAAATATATATATATATTTAAAGAAAGACTTAAGCATTAGCAGTCGCACCCTGCAAACACTATATTATTCATGTGAACTATAGTAGCAACAATCCTGAAGCAAAGCAAGAAACTAAGCAATCGCGCTCTACAAAACACCATGCTAAGCTTCTCTGGATCTTGGAATCCTAGAGCTCAGTGAATAACTCTAGATCAGAAGGATTATAAGACCACATAATGACATAGTAGTAATCTGGAAATGATCTAGAATATCAAGAGTCGTTATAACAAAGCCTGTCAAGCAGGTTATCTATGCATGAAAGAACCTTTACACAAAGAATGAACTGATGAATATCCATGAACAACTCGCATACAACCGCCAGACCGATAACTGCTTCAACACTTAGCTGAACCATAGTCGCAAACAAATTAGATCAATCATAATAGACAATAAAATTATGGCAAAGCGATCAACTATCATCCCCAAGGTCAAACATGACCCCACCTACCACGATACTATGTAATATCTGCAACTCCCATAATCGGCTAAGTGGGCAGCCATTGGAAGCCATCAATAAAACCATGTTCACAACTTGCCAATCAAGGCAACATTACAAGTGACTGCCCTGAACTATAAAAGCAAACTGAATCCGTGTGAACCAGGTGATAAACTACCTAGGACAAGCTTCATAGCCCTGTCTACTCAAGTGACCTGCATTCCATAATACAAGAAGATTAAAATAAAGTGTTGTCTTCCAGGCCCATTGTTAAAAAAGAAAAAAAAAAAATGGAAAAGAAGAAATAACCACAATTCGTCATCAT